TGCATTCCAGCTCACTCCTGCGATTTTGATGTTTTGGTATATCTGCTGTATTTATGAGTAATACTATATGCCAAACTGTGAATTCGGTGTGGAAGGCCTAAACCCTTCTTCTGCCTTGGGAGAAATGTAGTTAAGAAAATAATATACATATGTATACACACACACACACACGTACACACATTACTTTTACTTTCAGGGGTGACATTTTGCTACTTTCTCAGATTTGTATATACTGAGATTTGGGTTCCGAGGAGAGCATAGCACGTTTCTTCATGTTAAGTTCAGATTCATTCTTGCCTTGAGTTGGGTAAACTTATTTAATTTATCACATTGCAAAAACAAGACTTATCAGAAATGTCAAAGACTTATGAGATGGTTCTGGTCTTCTGAATAATTTCTGCTAACATATATTTTCTCAAACCATATATGACAAATGGATATACGGTTTGATCATTAGAGTACCATAGGATCATCATTGAGAAATGTGCTTATGGGATCATCTGCTTACAGATATATACCATCATGATCATTAAAGCAGTCACTGGTGTGAAATGGGATGTTAAATTATGTTTCTTCATGCAGGGATGGCTTACAGCACAGAAGAAATTCTTGGCAGGATGGAGTAATTGGAACAACCTGTCCAATCCCACCAGGGAAAAACTTCACATACATACTCCAAGCCAAGGACCAAATTGGCAGTTACTTCTATTTCCCATCCCTTGGATTCCACAAGGCTGCTGGTGCATTTGGTGGCATTAGAATATGGAGTCGTCCTCGAATTCCCGTACCTTTCCCTCCTCCCGCCGGAGATTTCACTGTTCTAGCCGGTGACTGGTACAAGACAAATCACTATGTAAGCACATTCTCAAATTTCTTTATCTTCAATAATCCTTATAGAACCATTTTCATTGCTTCTGTTTAATTTGCATTTTAAGTTGGTTTTTCTTCGAATCTATAGATACTGAGACACGTCTTGGACAGTGGCCGCAACCTTCCCTCCCCTGATGGCCTTCTCATTAATGGTCGTGGGTGGAATGGATATACATTTACAGTTGATCCAGGTGTATAATAGAACACTTTAACTTTCAGTTTTCTGGCTAACAGTAGCCTTGTTTCAACTGATATCATGAAACTTCTCTGCATATCTTTTACAATTCCATAATTCAAATTCCTATATTGCCATCTTTTTCAGGCAAGACATATAGATTCAGAATATCAAATGTGGGAATTGCAACTTCCAT